CTCTCTCTCTCTCTCTCTCTCTCTCTCTCTCTCTCTCTCTCTCTCTCTCTCTCTCTCTCTCTCTCTCTCTCTCTCTCTTTCTCTCTCTCCAGGTTAACATCAGTGGTAGTAATGGTCTCCCTCTACAAATGACTTCATTCTGGAAGTGTGAATCATCATCAACTGTATTCAGATTAGACTATACTTACACTCCGGATGTATTCCCATCAAAATCAAAACCGAACCTCACTAATCTATCAGCTACCATTACTGTAGGGGGTGGAGTCACTAGTGCCGATCCTCAGCCAAAAGGGGCGTGGTCTGATGATAAGAGTACGATGGTCTGGAAGTTGCCAGATGTCTCATCTGATAAGGAAATTGGTAGGTACTATAGTACAGGGTATTAAAAAAAAAGACTAGGAGAGAGTTCTCCATTCTCTGATACGCACATGTACATGTATTTTGTATAATGTACTGGGATTAGACTTTTACAGACATACGGTACCCAAGAATCACATCTTTACATCTTTCACGTCAATTGCCCTCTCTCTCTCTCTCCCTCCTCCTCCTCCTCCAGATACATGTACCATTAGGTCGAGATTTGAAGTTTCTTCTGGCCCTACTGTCCCAACTCCTGCGCTCATTCAGTTCATGTGTGATGGTAGCACCCTCTCCGGGGTTGCCATGGCGGTAGAAAACCCCGCCTACAAAATTTCTCTTCACAAAAACAAGTGTTTTTCAGGTAAGGACTATGTGGATGATTATGAATTACATTTTTGTTATTTTTAGGAAAATATATGGCTGAACCAATTAAATAGGCAAAAAAACTACAACTCATATTATTATTATTATTATTATTATTATTGTGTTCTTTATGCTATTAAAAATGAAATTGCTAGTCCCAATTATTGATAAGAATGATTGCTTTAATTTTAAAAATTAATAATCATTATAAAAACAGGAAGTGAATGATGTAATTATCCTGCTGTGGTTAGGACCCACAATAGCCTCACTAGTTTTAACAGGATTTAAATGATGAAACTGTGAAAGTTCATCAATCTTCATTATCTCAGTAATAGTGTAAACCAATTTTTGGAGGAGCATATGCTCCTAACTTCAATGCCAAGTATCTAACTTTAAAACTGTCAACTCAGAGGTATTAATGTCACACTATCATATGAAAGTATTTACATTATGAGAGTATTGGTAAGTTTGACTCTTAACAAAATCCTTACTAATATGATAATAATAACGTCAAATAATTAAATGTAGTCATTAATACTTGTTAAAGTATCTTAATTTTCATACCTTTGCAGTGCAGCATTGTTGATAGTACTCAAATTTTAGTAATGAAGAGAGGGCATAACATTAATTGGTAATAAACAACAAAACTGTTGTTGTTGTTATTATTATTATTATTATTATTATTATCAAAATGAAATTGATAGTCCAATTATTGATAATTATGATTGTTTTAATTACAAAATTACTAATCATTATAAAAACAGGAAGTGAATGATGTCATTATCCTTTTCTTGTTAGTGACCCACAATAGCCTCACCAGTTTTAATAGCATTTAACTGATGAAACTGTATAACTTACTGCAACTGCTTTGGTAAGGTGATGTCTTACTAGAAAAAATTTTTGG